AGAAAACTAAATCTGACATGCGCATGAACCTGAGGAGGAAGAGAAGAAGGAATGAAGAGAGGAAGTTTCTGTGACCTGACTTGAAATAAACAGACAACCCGAGGACTTAAATACACAAGAGGGTAGTGGAAACACCCGGGGAGACACAGCTGACACAAATGAACACGACGCCACAGAGAAAGTAAAACAAAACACATTGAACATGGAAACACTAGACTCTTCAAAACCAAGCAGGAAACACGGAGAGACGTGACAACACCAGCTTGACAATATGGAACACACAGACATACGCACAACTGAAAGTAAAACACTGAGGACAAGAAAAGACTTGTTATTAAGGAGTTACAGAAGAAACAAAAGCTAGAATGAAACACAACTAAATCCTAACTAATAATAGCAGCACACTATTTCCAATATAACAGAAGAAATCAAACTGTCTGAAACGTGATAAGTATCAATTCAGTCAGTAACATGGAGAACAGAAAATGTCGAGAGCCTGGAGATGCAGTTAGTTTGCCCCAAAAGAAATGATTTGGTAAAGGACTGCAGCTAGCCTCTGAGCCACATAGGCTGTGTGCACAATGCAGCAGTAACAGCTTTAGTTGATAATCAGCCAGAAACACGCATGCAGTGGCCTTTCTTTTCCAGGACAGGGGTACTAAAGGGTTAAAGTGTTTCAGCCATAAATGCAGATGCTGCAGATCCACACACACACACTCTGCCTGCACTGCGTGTTGCATTTAAATGTGACACTGATTTAATTTGTCAGCAGAGAAGAAGAGCAGCAGAAAGGAGGAGAAGATGATGTATCATTCATTGCTGAAGGAAGAACGAACACAAAGATGTTCTGCTTTTCTTTCCTGTCCTCTCTGAAAGATGCCCTCTGCTGGTTAGAGCTCATAACAACACTGACCTGGTCAGCTGATCCTTAAGCCAACACCAACTGAACCCAGATGTTCTGTTGTTCAACATACAAACTAAACACCTCCTGACCAGTCAGCTCGGTGTGCAGATTGAGATTGTCTTGTTAGAGACCGCAGTGACAGTCAGTTTTTGGGCGTCGGGCCAAATTAGGCTCACCTCGGGGGGAGGAATGTCTCACAAGCTGTTTTCTAACTCAGTGATCAGATCAATGAAAGTTTCCAGCTGTTTAAACTATTTGTGGTCTGAGGGTAGCCCTACTGCAAGCTAGAAAGAATAAAAGAAGCTGGAACACAAGCCTTTACCTGTTTGTTTGTTTTTACTTAATAAATATAGTTGATATAAAGCATCAAAGTTGTTATATTTGGTAAAACCAGATTAATGAAACATTTCCTGAATATGGTGAACGGGTTTTTAGTCCACACCTCTGAACTGCCCGTACACTGTCTATGGATCACCATGTTGCCTTTTCCTTGTTTTTGTTTTATATTGTTAAAAAATACATTAAACATATTGTACATGTACAAGCATTACAGAGAGCCTCATGGCTTCCCAGCATGTACTGGGGCAGGGAACCGATCACTTTCATTTTACTGTTACTGGTCTAGCTTCCCCTAGTATTGACACGTTTGTAATAACATGCCTGATGTGACTGCAGGTGATGCATAAGCTTGTGATTACCGTCACTGTTTTGTTCCTTTGTTTTCTGTGGTGAGGGAGCTTAGTCTCAAATTGTAGCTCTTAATTTATCTGCCATTATCTGTCATCTGTATATATATGTAAAAACAACAACACCCAGCACGCCCCTGCGGGCGGTTTATCCTTCAAGCTCGGGTCCTCTACCAGAGGCCTGGGAGCTTGAGGGTCCTGTGCAGTATCTTAGCTGTTCCCAGGACTGCGCTCTTCTGGACAGAGATCTCCGATGTTGTTCCCGGGATCTGCTGGAGCCACTCGCCTAGCTTGGGAGTCACCGCACCTAGTGCTCCGATTACCACGGGGACCACCGTTACCTTCACCCTCCACATCCTCTCGAGCTCTTCTCTGAGCCCTTGGTATTTCTCCAGCTTCTCGTGTTCCTTCTTCCTGATATTGCTGTCATTCGGAACCGCTACATCGATCACTACGGCCGTCTTCTTCTGTTTGTCTACCACCACTATGTCCGGTTGCTGTCTTTCAGTCCAGCTTTGTCCAGCCACTGGTAGGATTTCTGGATATCAGCCACCACCTCTATCTGCCGGTGGTACATACCGTGCAGGGACCTGTCCTTCCATGATGGTTCCTCGTCTCCCTCCTCTTTCATTGCAGACATAGAGGACAGTTACAAGTACCTGGGGATCCCGCAAGCGAATGGGAACCATGAAGAGGCCACTAGGAAAGCTGCAACCAAGTACCTGCAGAGGGTCAGGCAAATCCTGAAGAGTCAGCTGAATGGTAAGAACAAGATCCGGGCCATCAACACGTACGCCCTGCCCGTGATCAGGTACCCTGCTGGGGTAATAGGCTGGCCAAAGGAGGAGATAGAAGCCACTGACATCAAGACAAGAAAGTTCCTTACCATACATGGAGGGTTGTATGAAGCTGTACACTAAGCGGAAGGAAGGGGGCCGGGGACTGGTGAGTGTCAGCACCACAGTCCAGGATGAGACAAGGAACATCCACGAATACATCACAAAGATGGCCCCAACTGACCGAGTGCTCAGTGAATACCTCAGGCAGCAGAAACCAAAGAAAGTGGAGGAAGGCGAGGAACCATCATGGAAGGACAGGCCCCTGCACGGTATGTACCACCGGCAGATAGAGGAGGTGGCTGATATCCAGAAATCCTACCAGTGGCTGGACAAAGCTGGACTGAAAGACAGCAACAGGACATAGTGGTGGTAGACAAACAGAAGAAGACGGCCGTAGTGATCGATGTAGCGGTTCCGAATGACAGCAACATCAGGAAGAAGGAACACGAGAAGCTGGAGAAATACCAAGGGCTCAGAGAAGAGCTCGAGAGGATGTGGAGGGTGAAGGTAACGGTGGTCCCCGTGGTAATCGGAGCACTAGGTGCGGTGACTCCCAAGCTAGGCGAGTGGCTCCAGCAGATCCCGGGAATAACATCGGAGATCTCTGTCCAGAAGAGCGCAGTCCTGGGAACAGCTAAGATACTGCGCAGGACCCTCAAGCTCCCAGGCCTCTGGTAGAGGACCCGAGCTTGAAGGATTGACCGCCCATATAATTATGCACAGTAATAATCACCTGCACACACAGATATCCCCCTAAAATAGCCAAATGGTAAATGGCCTGTATTTATATAGCGCTTTACTAGTCCCTAAGGACCCCAAAGCGCTTTACATATCCAGTCATCCACACATTCACACACTGGTGATGGCAGCTACATTGTAGCCACAGCCACCCTGGGGCGCACTGACAGAGGCGAGGCTGCCGGACACTGGCGCCACCGGGCCCTCTGACCACCACCAGTAGGCAACGGGTGAGGTGTCTTGCCCAAGGACACAACGACCGAGACTGTCCAAGCCGGGGCTCGAACCGGCAACCTTCCAATTACAAGGCGAACTCCCAACTCTTGAGCCACGATCGCCCCGTAAAGCTAACAACAAACTAAAAACTACTTCCAAAAACATTCAGCTTTGATATTAATGAGTTTTTTGGGTTCATTGAGAACATGGTTGTTGTTCAATAATAAAATTATTCCTCAAAAATACAACTTGCCTAATAATTCTGCACTCCCTGTATATGTATGTGTATATATATATATATATATATGTATGTGTGTGTGTGTGTGTGTGTGTGTGTACAAGTAAATAAAAAAACATCTAATAAGGTTAGCAGCTCAGAGGAAAAACTACTCCAGTGCACCGAAAAAGTGGGTTTAGGTAGTTATATAAGCTCTCTGTCCTGTGAATACCTCGGGAGAGATAAGAGATAATCAAATGATGTAAAGATTTCAGTCACCTCACATTCTCCTCAGCTGAAACCTCAGTTAAACCAGCCTGGAACCAGTTTAAACCACCTTCACAAGCATCGCTGTGAAGTCATAAAACAGCAGAACCGTCATCTACATCCTTAATAAGGATATTGTCAAGTTTCGTAGATCGGACTCACGCGCAGACCACTAGTGTCTTCAAAAGGTGCATTTATTTACAGTGTTTCCTACAGTGGAATTCATATATACACATAATGGTGTCAACGGAAAAAAGGGGCCGGGGTTCCAGGGTCCAGGAGTGAAAGAGGCAGGAGTCCAGGAAGGGAAGGTTTCCATTCAGTCCTAGCACATCTCCTCTCCTTTCCTCTATCTCTCTTGCTCCCGTTCAGTCGCCAGGCACAGGGGAAGAATAAGTCCAGAGGCAATCTATGCACAGGCAGAAAAAAAACATTAGTCTCCTGGTTTAGACATGCTCACAAACTGACTTTACAAAATACAGGACGACTGACGCTGATGGCTCAACGATCCAGCGACGAGTAGAGCAGACTCGCCCTCTTAAGAAGGGTTCCAATCTTTCATGATCAGCGACAGATGTGCTGATCACCTCCAGGTGCGTAGGCCAGGGGCAGGAGCCCATACTGAGCTCCGCCCCGGCAGGAGAAAGAGAATGGGAGAGGGCGAGAGAGAAAGGGAGAGCACAGGTGAGAGAGAAAGGTAAACAAAAACAAAGCACCTGACGGCTGTCAACTGACGAGGAGCGGAGACCATGACAGATATCAACCATCTATTCTCTTCAGTTTATCCTTTTCAGGGCGTCGTGGGGGGGCTGGATCTATCCCAGCTGTCTTAGAGCGAGGGGCAGGGCACACCCTGGACAGGTCGCCAGTCTGTCGCAGGGCTAACACATAGACACAGACAACCATTTGCACCTATGGGCAATTTAGAGTTTCCAATTAACCTATCCTCCCTCCCAGCGTACCCGGAGAGAACCCACACAAACATGGGGCGAACATGCAAACTCAACCCAGAAAGACCCCAACCTGATGGTGGACTGACTCAGGACCTTCTTTCTGTGAGGCAACAGTGCTATCCACTGTGCCACAGTGCTGAATATCAAGGACTCACTGAAACGATCTGTGTTGTGTTGTAGATGTAATGTACTGTGAATGGACCGGCCTTCACAAGCAGAGACGCAAGGAGGCGTGGCATCTCATTCTACCCAATCAGCATCGAAGAGTGACATGGCTCCGGCCAATGATAAGCTGTGAAAGTAGACCAACACCACCCATTCAGGTGAGTATTTATCACATCAATGTTACAAAGTGATCAACACAATGAACACTTTTTGATGCAGATGTGCTTCTAGCTAGATAGATAAACCCTGAACTGAATTATAAACTTAAATTACAACCCCCAAGTTACCTCTCAGCCTGATGGCTGGTGTTAGAGTAAGAGGAGCCAGATAAGAGCAAGATGTCCTGGTTAGAGATGTCTTGAATGTGTTGAACGGGAGTCAGGGTGACCTTATACGAGATGAGCAGCAGTTTCACCTACCTGGAGTTTGGAGGAATTGCTGTTCCTGGTGCTGAGTGGCTGATGTGAGACAGGTGAACAGGTGTTGTGGTCAGAACCCATCTCTCTCACGGTCTTTCAGCAGTGTGTTTCTGGACCTGTTCGTCCCTTTCAGCTCTGCACTGAAAAGTGTCCTGTGTTACCTCTCCAGGTGAGTCTCCAGCTGATCTGTCCATCAGTTTGTCTTTCTGTCCATTCAAGCTGTGCTAATCACATCTCTTCTCTTTCAGGTGATCAAAGAAGTTCAGCCTTTTTTTTCTTCACAATTTTCTTCCAGATTCACTTTGCTGACAAACTACAGACACAGTAAGACAGCGTGTCTCTCAGTATGTCTCTGTTCATCTGTTGTTTGTGTAAATGTGTGTGTCAGCCATAAACAGAAGCACACTGTGTGTATGAAATGCCTTTGAGCCATGAGAGCAGATTGAAACACTGAAATCTTTGTTTACGCGGACGAAATCAACCATGTGGCAAATGAATATTTCACTGTTGATTATGATGTGCTGTATAAAGTAAATGATGGCCATAAATATCTCGTGTCCATCATACACAATAATTCACTCCTGTTTCTGTCTGTGTTTTTGGCACAGATACATAGATATGTTGAAGGCCAGGTTGAGAGCTTTAGCCAGATGTTGAGCTTGATGATCCAAAGCTCTTAGACGGCACTAGCTACCCTGTCTTACATTTGAGTCCTGGGACTGACAAGGCTATCTGCTGCCTGCTTCAGTGAGAGAGGGATGGTGCATGTTGTAATGGAAATTAGGCATTTGTTGGAAACTTAAAGAGAAGATGCCACAGATACTCAGCGAGAAATTAATACTTTGTAAAACTGCCATTCATACCACACTGATATGCAGTTCAGGTACCTCAGCTGGAAGGGTTATACATCTTTTATTTTTATTTTTCTTTGGCCGCCTGTCCCGTTTGGTTCTTTTGCCATCAGAATTATTGTCTGAAGGCAAAGAGAGAAGCCCAATGGAATTACTTTACCAAGTGGACCTTCCCTGCCTTGCCGTATTGGTCCATTTGATTGACCTTTGTTGTTATTATTTATTTATTTTATTTTATTTTCAGTTGTTACAGACGGGACAGACATCACCGGGGGGAGGGAGGGAAACAACAGAGGAATAGTGATGAAGGGCAAAGAAGGGGGGGGGCAAAAAATGTATATCACCTGGATCACCTGTTAAGAGAAAAAAAAAGAGAAAACAAGCAAACAAAAACTAATAAAAAGCAATATAATAAACACAACACCATCGTGGTACTCTATGTGTATATAGCAGTAAACATAAAATATTGAATATTATTGTGCAGCATGTTAGATCAACAGCGTACAGTGTGCTTTGAGGTAGGAGGCAAAAAGGGTGTAGTTTTGAGGCATTGAAGGTGATAACAGTGGGTGGATTATATTCTTAAATTTAGTTACAGCGCTTTCAGAAAGACATCTACTGTGATAAAGTCTACTCTCCACTGCTGTGTAATCAATTATTGTAAATGTAAATGTTATGTTGGTCCCAACTTTTCTATAAGGCAGAGTAAATCAATCAATCAATCAATTTGATCATTTATTAAGTCATGTCCATGGCACAAAAAGGGTTGGGGGACCCTGGGTTAAATTATCCAGAGAGCAAATAGCCTAATGTACCTCTGAGGGTCCTGACTCTATTGCACAGCAAGTTCATGTTGGTAGCATCCCTTGTCTGTTTCCCTCTGAATGATTGATCAGAAAAATCTGCCCTACTTCTTTCCTGTCTACACCTCAAGGCAGATCCCATTGGAGTACAGATGGAGCTGTGTAAAATGTAAAATGACCTTCATGATCATTAGGTTTTTGTTTATACAGCACCAGTTCACAACAACAGCCATCTTAAGGCACTTAAAGCTGAAGGATGTTAAAAATAAATAAATAGCAAAGCAGGTAGAAAGAAGCCATCAAACATACTGATCATTTGCGTTTAAACTTCACCTGCTGTCTGACAGAGGTAAAGGAGCATGAAGTCATGAATCTATAAGAATTCTTTAAAAAGTGGAAATCAATGATTTTGACAAACAGTATTGTTTGACTGATGGCCGTTAATATAAAGACTTCGGACTTTACGTTTCCCAATTTTTGCTTTAAGTTATTTTGTTATTTACATAATAATGTAAATAACCTAATAATGATCCTTATTGCTGTTTAAGAGAGGAGCGGTGCTTCAAAGGATAGCTGCAGATTTCTGTCAGAATCTGCAGATTATACAGTACAAATAAAATGTTTACGTTGTCTTCCCAACAGTTTCACTGACATCTACACTGGATGGCTAGGAAGCGTTCGCGATGTCTTCTCGGGCGCTGATAATTGGCTTCAGTCTTGTGTCGGTGACGTAAAAGGCGGATTTAATGCGACTTGACCGTTCAAACAGCAGTCGCTTTCTAAAACATCGGATATGTATCGGATTCAGTACCACATACGAAAGTGACCCAGATCGGATTTGAAAATATCGGATTTGCGCCGTTCACACTGTCATAGCATGATCGGATATGGGTCGCATAGGGTCAAAAAATCGGGAGTAGAACTCCTTCTTGAATCAAATCAGAAGTTAACCCTTTAGTTCACCGTGTTTCAACTCTTGAGCAGTAAAAGTTAGGGTGTGAGTAGGTTTGGTCAGGATTAGGTTAGTCTGCAGAGCAAAACAGATCTGACTTCATCATCCTGTCACTGATCGTTTCTGACATCACGCTCCCATGACCCATGTTTCTGTTGTCACAATGTTTCATCTTCTCACAGAGTATCAAACATTGAGCCTTAGGAATTCTGTTCATCTGTCACATATTTTTAGCTTGTTACATTTTTACTCTCACAGTCAAACTAGGAAGAGAGTTGTTACTGAGCAGATGAATTAGAGTTCAAGGGTCAAAGGAGAGCCACTTGGCTTGTTTGACTGTTTTCCTTGCAGTTCTTCAATGAGTTCACCTGTTGGAGAAAGTCTGTGCTGCCCAGTTCAGATCCAGGTATCCTGTATGGGCAATAAGTTTTGTTTTGTTTGTCAGGGAAACGAGGAACGGGTGGAGGAAAGCTTTCCTATCAAGGAGCATTACTGCTGAGGACAAAGAAACCAGAAGACAGACAGGTGAGGATCCATTTAAATCAAAATAAAACTCAGATAATTCTAGCAAAATTACAACCTTTCTTTCTGTAAAGACACAGCTGTTTAACACAAAATCACCTGAAATGGGCATCTTTCCATTATCTGGGTTCAACATCAATCAGGATACTGAGTCACACAAAGCTGGCCACAGTCACACAAACCTGAAACCCAGTAGGCGACCCCCTGGCAACTGTAGGTCTCAAAGGAAATATGTATATTCCTAGACTGGTTGGTGAGTGGTTTTTGGAAGTTGTTAGGTTAAATGGGTCTTAAAGAGAAAGCTCCACCAAAAACCTCCTTAAAATCGCTTTGATCATTTACTTTAGCCCATAGCTTGTCTAGAAGAGATGCACTTGTCTGCAAACATTCACCATTTACTTTAGGAGGAGCTCTAATGAAGCATGAGATAGGACGATGCAAAGTAGAAAAGAGAGAACCTTCTCTATTTTCAGTTTGTGTTACACTTTCTGCAGTGTCATTACCACTTAGGGAATAGTTTCAGTGTTCACAGATAAAACAGCATCCTACAAACTACTAACAACCACATCAACATGCTAGCAACCAAAGCAACTGCAAGGCGTTTTTTTGTGCAGCACCATATACAGTATCTCCTTGAGGTCAATTTCATTCTAGCATCTGCCAGTAACTTTACTCAATCACTCTGGAACTGGTCACAGGAGGGACATCAAATGAATGACTAATGTTCATTTGATGAGGGTTATAGATGTTTTTCTTTTTTTTTCTTTTTTGCAGTCTGAAACAGTCTGAAATAGGGATGCACCGATACCCGATACTGGTATCGGGTATCGGGACCAATACTGTAAAATGTGTGTGTACTCATACTCGTAAAAGTTAACCGATACCATGAACCGATACTAACTTATTTCATTAATCAGATGGTGGCATGTCATTTCTGTTGTAGTTCTTTAGATTGGCCACTAGGGGGACATCTCGCGCTAAACAGGCACAGGGTTAGGCGAGTCAGACTGGCGGCTCCAGATAAAAAAAGAGAAACTGGAGGCTTCTGTAGTTAGACTAAAAACAAAATGTCAGCAGTGTGGACCGGAACAGCCAACTTTAACTCAGGTTTTGGAAAAGTGATGAAAAATGTCAAGAGAAAATCCACGGGCAGTTAAAACAACAGAGGCTCTGACTCATTTTATCGCTCTGGATGACCAGCCAATGCCAGTCGTGGAAAACATAGGATTCTTCTCAGCACACTTGAGCCGCGATATGAAATTCCCAGCCGCCCACACATCAGGGAGATAATGGTGCCAAAACTTTCTGAAGAGGTAAAGACAGCAGTGTGTGCGCGATGTCAGTCCTCGGTTTAACGTCACAGTGGACTGATGATCCACGGGCAGATGGGGAGTTCGTCAGTGCCAAATACTTTCGTTATTTTGTTTGTTTGTTTGTTTACAATATGGACACTCTGCAATAATTTAACAGAAGTGCTTATTTTTCACTTGAAATTTTTTTGTGGTCATTTTTATTAAGATTTTATTTTTTATCGGCAGAGAATAAAATAAAACCTGTCTTTCAATTCATTGCATTTGTGTGTGTGTGTGTGTGTGTGGTAGAAGTATCGGTTTTTGTACTCTGTATTGGCAAGTACTCAGATCCAAGTATCGGTATCGTATCGGTTTGTAAAAATTGGTATCGTTGCATCTCTAGTCTGAAAGTAACGTCTTGATGCATGCTCAATCATCCAGGTAAGTTGATTCTGTTCATCTGGACGTGGCATTTTCAGTGGGAGAAACGTTTCGTCACTCATCCACGTGACTCCTTCCAACCTTATAAACAGTACCTTAAGTGTTTGTTGGTTTTGTTGTTGTTGTTGATGATGATCAATGGTCATGGCAATTTGCGTGTTACGTATCAAGGAACTGACCTTCCAGCCCGTTGTTCACCAGTGGGACAGTTTCAGTCATTGTGCAAATGTCCTGTTTATAAGGTTGGAAACTTGCAGTCAGCCGAGAGTGGATGAGTGATGAAACATTTCTCCCGCTGAAAACGTCCAGATGAACAGAATCAAACTTTTGGGAGTCTGAAAGTAAAGAATATGAAAACAGAATTCAAATATAGCCTTAGATTACTGTGTAAAGCCAAAAACTACAAACAAAAGCCCCATTTTTTTATCTATACTTTGATGCTTGTAGAGCAATAACATTGTTGTGTGTGTGTGTCTGCTGCAGTGTGTCAGTGTGTCTGTACACAAAGAAGAGGATGATGATGAAGAGGAGGAGGACATAAGAGAAGGAAGAAGGAAAGACAAGCGCCCTGTCGCCTCAACTCCTGTGCCTGGGTCCCCATGGTAACCATTGTTCTGTAACATTATTGTTGTTATTGATGATTATTGATTTTTCAGACATGTTTTAGCCTAAATTCATTAAAAATTCATCAGTGGCTGATCTGGACGTTTCCACTGTTTGTACTGTGACTCCTCTCTGGTGTTACCAAGGCAACCATGAACCGATGCAGTCGTCTGGTTGTTTTGTGTTTTAAAGGTAAGACTGCAAACAAAAAATACAACGGCGCTGAGGATGCTGATTGTACAGACTGTCATCTGTGGGTCTGAGAAAAATCATGCCCCTCAGTCTGTAGCAACTACAACTTCACTTTTCTGTTTTTCAGGTCATGTTTGTGTTACTGTATGAATACAAAAGTTGAATCATTTAATCACAGAATATTTGTCTTGTTTTATTAGAGAATGACAGAGCAGTCATCCATCTTTACCATTATCTTCCACAGCCACTCAGCTCCTGGATTTAGTTGAACCATTTAAGCTCCTGGAGTCGTGAACCTGAACTTACTGGACACTGTCATATGCCTCTCCCCTGTCCTGATTTATGTCCCTGTCCTGTCCATTTTCAACATTGAAGCCGGTGTACCCGGAGGGAACCCACACAAACATGGGGAGAACATGCAAACTCCACACAGAAAGAGCCCAGGCCTGATGGGGAAATTGAACACAAGATTCAAGATTCAAGAGCTTTATTGTCAATATAGTAGTATACACAGTGTACAGTGTACCAAAATGCTGTTTCACCCTAAGCCCCCCATGGTGTATTTATAAATATATAAAGGATATATCTCCAAGAGATATAAAACTAGGAATTAGAAATAAATAACATGCTAAATTTCGGTAAAATTAAGGGATAAAAAGGTACTAATTACTAACTATACAATTCTATACAATACTATAATGGTAACTATATAATATTAACTGTGCGATAAACAAAGACAGGACAGAGATAATACAAAGTGGAATGTGCAGTAGGTATTGAGCAGTGTTGGGACTAACGCGTTATTAAGTAACGTGTTACAGTAACTACGTTATTATTGTGGTAACGAGCACGGTAACTAGTTATTATTCAGGAACGCGTTAGTCGTTACTGGGATTTAGATAGGCTCGTTATTCGTTACTTCCTGTGGTGGCTATCGCGGAGCTTCCACAGATTCAGTAACATTAGCAAGTGGTGGAGGCAGCAGGTGGATGAAGGAAAAGGGACGCAGAAGGAAAAGAGACCCGAGGCGGCCGCCGGTCCAAGTGTGAACTGAACTTCAGGTAAGAAGTTATGACCTGCAGTCTCTCTGGGTCAGATATAAACCAAGTTTAGGTGGAGTTTATTTTCGTTGTGCTGACTTTTTCCTACTGCGTGCTAGCTAGCATGACGGAGTTTCTATACAGCTGGGTGGTGCTATGATGTTACTGATGTTGAACTTTATTTTGTTCATAAGTTATTAGAGTTGCCAACCGTCCCGTCTGGTATTCAGAGAAAATATTACGCGTTTCTTATTGAGGTGAAAAGGAACAGTTTATCCCGGAATTCAGCTACAATGGAAAAGATACAAAGCTGAAGTTATTCTGTGTTTACGCTGCACAGCTGCCTCTTCTTCTCTCATCCTCCCCCCTCCCTCTCCTGTTGCTACTTCAATCATGAAACTGATCAGTGATCAGCTGATCGGCTTTTCTCTCGTTTATTTATCTCCCACTTTGCGCAAGAAAGAAGAAACCAGCAGATGTCGCGCTAAACAACAGCAGCACGTTTAAGCTTGATCAGCTGTTGTTAGAATTTATTTAATATTAATTTCTAGTATCAGCTGATGTTTGCTGGAGCCACAGCTGTAAAAAAGCTGCTGGTCATGATATGGTTTGTATATCTGGTGAGAGGGAAACATGAAGATGAAACCAGGAGATGTCCTTACTGGATCATCAGAGCTGTGATGGAGAAACAGGTTTACCTTTTAGGTGACATGGATGAGTTGAAGTTATGAACTGTTTCTGAGAGACAAATAACACCAGGATCCTTTTTTAGGTAGCTGACAGCTGGTAACTGTGCAGGGGCGGGTCTAGCAAAGTGTTGCCAGGGGGGCAGGTAGGGCATTAACAGGGAAAGGGGGGCACAAAGAAATACTTTCTTATTCTCATTTAAAATGTCTCACTTTTAAAAAAATAATTATCTGAATCTTACAACAAATGATTGATAGATTGATGCATATATACCATCAGAACAGTGAACATCACTGTCACAACAGTGTTTATTTTCATTCAAAGGCTTTATGATTTTTCCTATAATGGTGGGCCGGTCTCTAGTCAAAATGCCCGGGCCAATTTTCTGTCCCAGTCCAGCCCTGTATGCAGCTCATCTGCAGTCTGCTGTTACCCACATCTTCCTATTCATAAGGCAGAATTTCCGAGTTCTGAGTGCAATCAAAGCACCACGACTGCAGTTTTTGTGTTGGATGTAAAAAGCGCACATGACGCTGTGACGTAGGCTAGAATCATGGCAGCAGTCAATGACGGTCCAGGCGTGGGATTTCTCTCGTGGAAATGTGCACATTATCTTTTCCTTTCTGTTGGTAGGTGGCACAGTGCACTGTGGCAAGTAAGCAAGCTAGAAGACTGCAAAGTTATGGAAGCAACACATTAACAAGAGAATTCTGAGCAAAACCAAAGTTACTTTCCCTAGTAACTAGTTACTTTGAAAGTAACGAGTAACTTGAAGTAACTGAGTTACTTTTGAGAGAAGTAACTAGTAATGTAACTAAGTTACTATTTTAAAGTAACTTACCCAACACTGGTATTGAATACCAGTTTCAAGTTTTTGTCGTCCTTGCCTCTCCTTTCGAACCCTCTTTTTTGACTTTTGCATTGCACTCCTCATTCTCTTGGTATTATGCTCATCGCTCTTGTCAGATCGCTTAGCTGTTGGTGGCTCTGCTTTGTCGGGCAGTAAGTCTACCCAGTCTTCCCAGGACCTGGATAACGTCTTCCAGAGGTGGCGTGGATCACAGCAACCTAAGCCGTTTGCGATGCACTACGAGTAGAGACATGGCGCCCATGAAACAGATGGCTCTACTAAATGTAAGGTCGCTGGTGAATAAGACTTTTGTTTTAAATGGCTTTTTCCTCACCTCGGGGCTGGACGTTTTGTTCCTGACGGAGACTTGATTTCGCCCTGGTGAGTCGTTCGCCTTCTCGGAGGTTCTCCCTCCAGACTGTGCCTTCTTCAGCTCACCTAGGCTTACGGGCAGAGGTGGTAGCTTAACCTTGGTTTTTGAAAATAAACATAAAATTCGGCAGCTCCCCTCCCCTACCTCCCCTGCCTTTGGAGTTCAATTATTGGATATGGCCGATTCTTCTAAAACTCTACCGACCGCCGAAATACAACAAGGCTTTTATTCATGACTTTGCATGACTATTAGGATCTGTTCTTTTTAAATATGAAGAGAACTGTTAACAACAAATGCAACTGATGGAAGTGGAATAAAGCTGTTAAATGGAGAAGTACGGCTGGAGTTGTTGGACTGTAACAGGTTTCATTCATAACAGTGGCATCGCGTCACCCCCGCCAACGAACACCTCAGAGACTTCAAGCGTAGGCTTAGCCTCTACACATACATTTACATTCATATACATGTACCCAGAGTACTTCCATACAATACATACCCCATAATCGTTATACCATATTTAATAAGCAAACCTATTTATACTATAGTAAGTATATGTGTGTATCTACCCATCTATCAGTGATGTGGTTACTTTCATATATATCGATGTGCATGTACACGCCAAGGCATGTTTGAAAGGAGCTGTTAAGTGCACAAAATATGTGTTATTAGGGCTGCCACAAACGATTATTTTGATAGTCGACTAGTCACCGATTATTTATGCGATTAGTCGACTAATCAGATCATCATCATCATCCAAAATAAACAAAAAGTCCTTCAAAAATAAAATGCAGCAACCATCACTGGACGTAAAACGTACAGCATATTGCACCAGCAGCATCTGCTCTTCTATAACTATCATTAGCTTACAGCTTTAAGCTTTTAAGGTGCTAACTAAAAATAAAGACAAGATGATAGTTTATTAAATTTTAATGAAATTTGCAGATTGTTTCGGTGAAGTTTAATAAACTCCTTGCTATCTAAAATATAACAGGACACTGGAGTATATTCTCCAGCATCTCACACTTCTGATAATCAGCTGTCTGCTTGACGTTTATTCAGCTGTGTAAAAACTATAACTTTAATCTCAGCCAAACAGATTTACTCAGGAACAAATAAAATACAAAAAAAAAAAAAAAAAAAGCCAAACAACAACATTTTTAATTTATCTAAGTGACTCATATATATTTAACCTGAGTAGCGAAAGACGGCGGTGGGTTTGAAAACGATTTGCCGGGAGTCCGGTGTTCTCACGGCGCTAGTGACCTAGCCCCCGGCTAGCTATCGAGCTAGTGGGTAACAGACGTCTCCGAAAACGTTGGAGCGCTTTTGAAAATATGTGGTGTCCTGATAAACTGAGCAGATATTTGAGGTTTACACAGCTACATTCTTGCCTGAAAATATGTGAAACGTTTATTTTGTGACCCAGAAAGAATAATAAGAGTAACATTAAAACTAACTAGCTGCCGCCATTGTTGGAAACTGAGCTGGGCTGCGCTATGAATTCTGGGACACAGCTTCTTCTTCTTCTTCGGGGTTTAACGGCAGCTGGCATCCTTGTACATGCAGTGCTGCCATCTTCTGTTTCAGTCCGTTATTACACTCTTAAATCCTGCTACTTATTCCTGCGTCTTTTGGGATCTTACAAAGCTTCAAACGACGCGTCGACTATTAAATCAGTCGTCGACGATTTTGATAGTCGACGTAATCGTGACTAGTCGACAAATCGTGGCAGCCCTATGTGTTATACAGACATTCTTTTATTTTTTCGATCTTTTGTTTGTATTCTTCTCTGTGAGACTGAAGCCGCACATAATTAGCTTGTCAGTAAGGATCAATAATCAGAGATGTTTCAGCCCTGTTTGACCTCCACCCTATCAAAAGTCTTCATGGGAGGAGACTCAAGATGGTGCTCAGGGTAGATGATTCACTTCTGAAGATTGGCCCTTATCTAGAGGGCAGTGAGGCTCATAGTATGACCCTCGTTTCGTGATTCACCCATGTGTGCATGTGTGTCTTCAGGTGTGTGGTCTGGACTGGAGATGACAGAGTGTTCTTCTTCAATCCCACAATCCATCTCTCTGTGTGGGAGAGACCAGGAGAGCTGATTGATCGAGACATCAGCCGCATCATCGAGGACCCGCCCCATAAGAGAAAGAAGACCTCACCTTCAGGTCTGACCCTCACCTCTCTATCCTTCACCTGTGTCTCAACTGTCTCACTTCACTCTTTAACTATGGATTTTACATCTTCCTGACAGAAATCAGCTCTAGCTGTCAATCAACTGGTCTCCATAGGAATGATGAAGATGAAGATAATGACCTTAAACACAGCACCAAGAGGAACAGGTGAGTCTAAACGATGCAGGAGGTGAAAGTGTTTTTGTTTATTTTGTTAGTAAAAGTAAAGATGTTGCTTTGCTGATGTCATCACCAACCTGTGGCTCAAGAGATGGACGTTTGTCTTGTAATCGGAAGGTTGCCGGTTCGAGCCCTGGGTCAGACAATCTTGGCCGTTGTGTCCTTGGGCAAGACACTTCACCCGTTGCTTACTGGTGGTGGTCAGAGGGCCCGGTGGCGCCAGTGTCCGGCAGCCTCGCCTCTGTCAGTGCGCCCCAGGGTGGCTGTGGTTACAATGTAGCTGCCATCACCAGTGTGTGAATGTGTGGATGAATGACTGAATGTAGTGCAAAGCGCTTTGGGGTCCTTAGGGACTAGTAAAGCGCTATATAAATACAGGCCATTTACCATTTTTACCATCATTGGTTCTTTATTTTTAGAACAGAGGAGTCGATGTCTCTCGTTCCCCATCCAGGAGGGGTTCAGCTCCTCCCACTGGAACTCCGGATCGCTCACTTCAAGGAAATGATGCTGGAGAGAGGGGTAACATTAAACTCAACACACATGCTGTACACAAGCACTCACTGAAGTACAATTACACCTGAAGTACAAATGTTTCACTGGAAATACTGTGAAAACTCTCAGGATACAGCAACATTTTACAGGTAAAAGAAGTGTATCTACGTGCATGAAAGCTGGTGCATCAACGGGACAATTATAAACAGTCACTGCTCCCCGAACCTCTACAGAGAGAGCTAACAGTAGTGATCATCACGTCTGTGTACATTCCACCTGATACCAATGTAAACACAGCGCTCTCTATCAGCGGGCCCACATAATTGCAGGTGACTTTAATGAGGCTAACATAAAGACTGTGCTCCCAAAGTTCTATCAGCATGTCGGATTTCACACCAGGGGAGAGAAAACTCCAGACCATGTTTACTCCAACATCAAGCGTGAATATGGAGCCATACCCCTCCCCCACCTTGGCCAGCCGACCACCTCTCCCTCCTGCTCTCCCCCAGCCTACACTCCCCTCAGACGCAGTGCCAGGCCCACCACAAAGACTGCTTCACACCATCTTTGAACAGAGGCGGGGGTTTACGACACCAACTCTCTGCCATCTATAATCCAGTTTTGAGATCCTTCCCAGACGCCTTAACGCCCACTCACATCCTGGGCCATCTGACCTCAGGAATTCGCATGATAAGGTGGGGCCAGGTTTCACAATGAACTCACCCGAAACTCTGGCTGATTGGGACCCACACCCAGTTTCACACCTTGGCTCAGACGATTAGAGGATCATCAGGGGTCCTTTTGTCCCTCTGTGGGGGTTACTCCCACTAGGTTTATATCTGGGACTCTCCACCATTTGACCTTAGAACTGAAGAAGCTTCTCGGATGAGAGGTGAAACATCTTCAAGCAACTTAAAGAAGTCCAGACGCTTTTCTTTGCAAGCTCCTTTGACTACGATGACCTGGATGACTGAGAACCTTCACAGACATACTTCCGGTTCCTTGGTGTCCTCATCTCTGCTGACATCTCCTGGACAGACAACATCTCAGCGGTCATCAAGAAGGCCCAACAGCAGCTGCACTAAGGCAGACAGTGAGACTTCAGAGTGTAGTCAAGGCAGGACAGAAGATCATCAGCTGCCCTCTAATTCAATTCAATTTTATTTATATAGTGCCAAATCACAACAACAGTCGCTGCAAGGCACTTTATATTGTAAGGTAGACCCTACAATAATACATACAGAGAATGTATTATTGTATTGTATCTCCCTTCCCTGATGGACATTCATTCCTCCCACTGCCTCAACAGAACAACAAACACCATCAAGGACAGTCCCACCCTGGCTTTGACCTGTTCAGCCTGCTTCTCTCAGGGAAGAGCTACAGGTGCATCAGCACAAAGACCCACAGACTGAAGAACAGTTTCTTCCCAAAGGCCATAACCATCAGTCCCACCCTCTGATTTTTCCCATGTCCGTCTGTAAACCACCACTGTGCAATACTAAATTCTATGTGCAATGACCCAAACTGTATTTATTTACATATGTACTTTTTTCTTTTTTACACCCAATTGTATATTTGTAGATTTTATACTTTTTTGTTCCTGTTGATACTGTTCATATGTATATAGTGTTTTTCTTTCATTTTCCTTTACAATACCCCTGTTTATATTTTGTTCTAATGCCACTGTTGGCATGCTAGTCTGCTACGTACACATATATGTATATACTGTTTTACTTTATATAAGCACACATTCTTTCATTATTATTGCCTCTCCTACAGTTTGATTCCTGCCATGTACAAATGGAGGACAACAATACCTCAGCCTGCCTTTTTTGTGCTTTTCTTCTGTCCGTTTTTGTATAGTAAGACACAAAAGTAGTACAAAAGTATAGGTAAGCATACACTCTGGCTCTCACAGACCTGTAACGTCTTCTGTAAGAAGCTTTTCTGTCCCCCACTCGTTACCTGTATGAATGGCACCTGTTTGAACTCATCATCTGTATAAAAGACACCTGTCCACAGCCTCAAACAGTCAGACTCCAAACTCCGCCATGGCCAAGACCAAAGAGCTTTCGAAGGACACCAGGAAAAGTATTGTAGACCTGCACCAGACTGGGAAGAGTGAATCTACAATAGGCAAGCAGCTTGGTGTGAAAAAATCAACTGTGGGAGCAATCATCAGAAAATGGAAGACATACAAGACCACTGATAATCTCCCTCGATCTGGGGCTCCACGCAAGATCTCATCCCGTGGGGTCAAAATGATCATGAGAACGGTGAGCAAAGATCCCAGAACCACACGGGGGGACCTGGTGAATGACCTGCAGAGAGCTGGGACCAAAGTAACAAAGGTCACCATCAGTAACACACTACAACGGCAGGGAATCAAATCCCGCAGTGCCAGACGTGTTCCGCTGCTGAAGCCAGTGCATGTCCAGGCCCGTCTGAAGTTTGCCAGAGAGCACATGGATGATACAGCAGAGGATTGGGAGAATGTCATGTGGTCAGATGAAACCAAAGTAGAACTTTTTGGTATAAACTCAACTCGTTGTGTTTGGAGGAAGAAGAATACTGAGTTGCATCCCAAGAACACCATACCTACTGTGAAGCATGGGGGTGGAAACATCCTGCTATGAGGCTGTTTTTCTGCCAAGGGGACAGGACGACTGATCCGTGTTAAGGACAGAATGAATGGGGCCATGTATCGTGAGATTTTGAGCCAAAACCTCCTTCCATCAGTGAGAACTTTGAAGATGAAACGAGGCTGGGTCTTCCAACATGACAATGACCCAAAACACACCGCCCGGGCAACAAAGGAGTGGCTCCGTAAGAAGCATTTGAAAGTCCTGGAGTGGCCTAGCCAGTCTCCAGACCTCAACCCCATAGAAAATCTGTGGCGGGAGGTTAAATTCCTAGTAAATCCTACCAGATTTTATCTAGCAGAATATTGAAAATGTAGTGAGGCGGCAAGGTCTCACTATATTTTCATAGTGAGACCTTGCCGACATATATGTCGAGCACAATCAATGGTCTTAGAATTGTCTCCTGGAATGTGAGAGGTGTGGGGAATGCAACCAAAATTAACAAAGTTCTGGCACATTTACAGCAGCTTAAAGGAGATGTGTTTTTTCTTCAAGAGACGCATCTCTGCAACAAAGAAGTGAGGCAACTCAAGAGAAACTGGATCGGCAATATATATCATTCCAAATTTAACGCCAAGGCTAGAGGGACAACTATTCTTATTCGTAATAGTATTCTGTTTGAGCAACATAAAGTTATTGTTGATCCAGATGGCCATTTCACATTTGTGTCAGGAAACTCGCAGGGCTCACTTGTGATACTGGCTAGCGTGTACGGGCCGAACTGGGACGACGACTCTTTTATAGCTAAACTTTTCTCTTCACTTCCAAATTTGGAAAACTATCATCTTATTATTGGAGGTGAGTTTAACTTGGTTCAGGACGCTCTGCTGGATAGATCGTCAACTAAGGCCTGTTCCCTGAATAAATCTGCTAAAACCCCAGAATTTTTCAAAACTCAGCTGTGGATTGTGGATCCATGGCGACATGCGAATCCTACTACTAAGGCATTTTCCTTTTTCTCTCATCCCCACCATACATATACACGTATAGACTTTTTCCTTGTCGATATTAGGTTTCTCTGTAAAATTAGCCATTGTCAGTATCATGCTATCGCCACCAGTTTCTTTTGATGTGGTATTAGCGACCCCGTCTCGACCCATTAAACATTGGAGATTTAACTCTAGCCTGTTGATAAGGGATGACTACACAAATTTTTTGAGGTCACAGTTCTCACTTTTCCTTGAGTTGAATGACTCTACTGAAGTGTCAAGAGGTATTATGGGAAACGTCGAAAGTCTTTGTGTCAAATTTAAAGAAGAAAGAGTTATCTTACACGTCCAGTGTATTGAATAAGATCAAAGATCTAGATGGCAGATATGCATCGAACCCAGATCCTAACCTCTATACAGAACGTGTGAAAGTTCAAGCCAGGCTCAATTTAACCACCACCGCAACAGCTATGGTTCAATTAATTAAGACAAAGCAACGCTTTTTTGAATCCGGCGACAAGGCAGGGAAACTTCTGGCCTATCAAGCCCGTGCCAAAGCAACCTCCAAGCTAATCCCAAAGGTCAAGTCTGCTGCTGGTGACATAATATCGGACCCAGAGGGAATTAATGAAATATTTGTTCGTTTCTATTCCAATCTGTACACTTCAAGCTCTCCCCCTCTATCAGAAGAAACTCTCCAAAATATACATTTTACAAGAATAGAGATCTGATGAAGGGATTAGGGGGACCTATTACTGTAGTAGAGGTACAAGAAGCCATTAAATCCTTAAAGACAGGTAAATTGCCGGGCCCTGACGGTTACTCTGCAGAATACTATAAAGCTAATTCTGATCTTATGGCACCATTGTTGAAAGAAATGTATAATGAAGCCTTTTCAAAATGTCAGTTACCCAAGACTTTGTCTGAAGCTACTATTTGTTTAATCTTGAAAAAGGACAAGGATCCTCTGTTGTGCAGCAGTTACAGACCAATTTCTCTTTTAAATATTGATTTTAAAATACTATCTAAAATCCTCACACTTAGGCTACAACGTGTTCTGCCACAAATTATCGCCTCTGATCAGACGGGATTTATGGCCGGCAGGCACTCATATGACAATTCAAGACGCCTCTTGAATATTATCCACACATCGTGCAACTCAATTCCAGAGGTTGTGGTATCTCTTGACGCGGAGAAAGCTTTCGACCGCGTCGAGTGGAGCTTCCTCTATGAGGTGATGGCTAGGTTTGGCTTAGGGGCTGACTTTATTCTCTGGGTTAAGCTACTATATTCCTCGCCATCCATCTGTATTCGTACTAACAACAACTTGTCTTTGCCTTTTTCACTTGAGAGGGGCACTAGGCAAGGGTGCCCTCTCTCACCCCTCCTATTCGCCATTGCTATCGAGCCTCTTGCAATATGGCTGTGTTCAGAGGATAGATTTAAAGGCATTGCAAGGTCCGGTGTTACCCACAAACTCTCTCTTTATGCAGACGACTTGCTCCTGTACATTTCTGACCCTCTAAACTCATTCCCGGTACTTTTTGACATACTGGACCAATATGGTACACTGTCAGGATATAAGCTCAATTATCAAAAAAGCGAGTTGCAACCCCTCAATTCCCTGGCCAGAGCCCTTCCCCACTCAATAGTGCCTTTTAAGTGGACAGAAACCGGATTTAGATATTTGGGGTTTTTTTATTTCCTCTTCTATACCTAAAATGATGAGGGAGAACTTCCTATCCCTACTAGAAAATGTTGGGAAAGATTGTGACTGTTGGACTTCTCTACCATTGTCAGTGGCAGGGAGAGTTAACCTGATAAAGATGAGTGTCCTCCCAAAATTCTTGTATCTTTTTCAACATGTCCCAATTTTTCTTACCAAGGCATTTTTTGACAAGTTAGAAAAGATTCTGTCACATTTCATATGGGGAGGGAAACAAGCTAGAATTCGCAAGTCTATTCTTCGGTCCTCTAAAGCTGACGGTGGTCTTGGTCTGCCCAATTTTAGACACTAGAATTTTAGACTCTCCGCAATTTTTGGCATTCCTCCCGACTTGAACTCATCTGGCCCCCTCAAACAGGCCCTAGCCTTTACCACTTTACTAGCTCGGAGGCTTATTCTGTTGAAGTGGAAGTTTCCCCACCCCCCAACTCATGATCATTGGGTGAGAGATGTACTCTTTAACTTAAAGTTGGAAAAACTTGGATTCTCTCTAAAAGGTTCTATTAAGGAATTTAACCAAATCTGGAAATCATTTCTCTTGCTGGTGGACACCATCACTGAGTCTGAAGTGAACTGAGCGAAGCTACATTATAAAGTTTTTTTTTTTTTTAATTTCTTTTTTAAATTATTTTTTATATCTTTTTTATTTATTTTTTAAATCTTATTTATACCTTATCTACTTGTTTTTCCTTTTGTTTTGTTTGGTCCCTTCTCTGCTTTTGTTTTCTCTGTTTTTGTTTTGTTTGTTTTTGTTTGTTTTTTGCGGGGGGGTTGTTGTTTTTTGGGGGTTATGCTTGTTACGTATATGGGTCTTGAGATGGGTTTTTGGTTTTTTGGGGGGGTTTTTGTGTGTGTGTGTGTGTGGGCAGAGACTGGTTCTCTGCGGCGTCATGTCTAGTGTGGACCTGGTAGGGGGAGAATTCGGGTTAGGGGGGTTGGAGGGTATAATGGACATACAACTGTTCTGAAATCAAGATTGACTTTGCTGTTGCTAACTTTGTATGTCATTGTTGAAATCAATAAAACAAATTTGGAAATAAAAAAAAGAAAAAAAAGAATAAGATTCCCACCATGAACACGTACCTCAGCGGCATCAATTTCTTTGCCAAGCTGCTCACAGGTTCGCCATGCCCAACCATTATGTCGTCCCAGATATCATTACTCATCAAAGGTCTCCAGCGCCAGTCACCTGCCACGACCCTACACCACTTACCCCTAACTTCAGATCTTCTACATCGCTGCATCTCTACCCTCCGGCTGAAGTAGCGACTACTTCCTGGCACGCACACTCCTGCTCGCCTTCTTCGGCTTCTTACGCTGTTCCGAATTCACCTCCTCATCTTCGAAATCCCATTCGACTCTTCACCCGTGCTTGAGCGACATCCACCCAGTCTTCGAAGACTGCCTCATTTTCTTCCTCAAACGAAGCAAAACCAATCAATCCGGCAGCCCCACGCCTATATACTATTTCAAAATAAACTCACCTTTAAGTCCCTTTGAATCAGTAACCCATTACCTCCACCTCAGAAAATCTCAGCACGCCTTACCTTCAGATCCACTGTTCATCACCGAATCTGGCCACGCCCCGACCAGGTCATCGTTCCTCTCACACTTTCGCCAAGTGCTCTCGTCTTCTGGGATTCCTCCAAATCTCTTCTCTGGCCATTCCTTTCTCATCGGCGCCGCAACTTCTGCCTCCCGCAAAGGAATCTCTGACCACCTAATCAAGCTCCTGGGTCGATGGTCATCACAAGCCTACCAGTTATACATTCGCAACAATCTCCAAGACCTCCGTAATGCCCAGTCTTCACTCCTGTAGGGGATGATTTCTTGGGGGTTCTGCCCGGCCCGAGAGCCGTCGCCGCAGCACCAGTTTTCACTTCCTCATCCCTCATCGCCCATCGTTACCGAGGATGTGGTCCCAGCTAGTGAAATGGTTATTAAAAAAGGGTAAAAGGTAAATGGCTGCAAATAACTTTGTTGTTTGCAAAACTTGTGCATATGATTTTAAAATTGACAATTTATATTTGCATTTCAAGTTATGAAATATGATTCAATAAACATGTTTGTGGTTGTTACAGTAAAAAATGTAACTTTTTCTACTCGGATTTTATGTTTTTTGTCTGATTTTAGATCAATTGTGTTAATACAGTTTGTCAAAATGAAAACATGACTGTAAATTCAGACACGTGAGGCTGTGCTGAAAAGGATGATACCAAACAAGGCAAAGTAAATAGTTTTTGTAGGTGAAATGTAGCGGGACAATCTAAAAAATGGACAATTATACCCTGGTTAAACTTTTTTTTTTAAGGTAACGCAATAGTTACTTTTGAAGTAATTAATTACTTTTAGGATCTTGTAACTCAGTTACTAAGTCAGTTACTTTTCTGAAGAATTAACTAGTAACTATAATTAATTACTTCTTCAAAGTAACTTGCCCAGCACTGATTGTATCAGGTTTTGCTTCCCCTGCTTTGCCCTGATTTGCCCAGCTGTGTTTCCCTTCTGTCTCCCATTCACTGATTGCTCCCTCTGTGTCATCTCCCTGAGTTTCTCCCTCCGTATCAACAGGCTTTAGGTCTGTTTTGTCAGTTCTCCCAGTATAGGTAATCCTTAGGTTCTGTTTATACACTCTACTTTTCTGTTTGTACCATCATCCCACGCTGTGTGTTCCATCCATCTGCCTGCCAGTTTAGTTTCTGTATTCCCAGTTCAGCCAGTTTTTTGTTTTTGTCATGTGGTAATAAATCTTTGTTTTGATTCTGCACTTTTGGATCCATCATTACTCCTATCCTGCTGGATTTGGTGGATCAGACCCCCACTATCTGAAGAACAATGATCGATCTTCATTCACTGAAAGACAGAATTGAGCTTCATCACAGCCACAATTCTCCGACTTAAAATTATGTTTTACGTGTATCTGTGTCTTTTTTGTATTTGTGTTTAAAATTGTTTCTTTTTCACCTCATGTTGGTTTGAAGATTAAAAAAACTGTATATATAGCATTATTGATCTTAGTCAATATGTCTAATGCACCTCCATATAAATTAGATTTATTAAGAGTCACCCTGCCAGGATAAATACAGATTGAACCATTAAATTTAAATATTGACCTGTGGCTCTCCTCAGGTGTCTGCATTCTCCACCTGGGAGAAGGAGCTTCATAAGATGGTATTTGACCCTCGATACCTGCTGCTGAATTCAGATCAGAGGAAACAGGTTTGGCAAATTAAAGATTACTTTCATTTCTAACATTTTCATGCAATGTCATGATGTCACGATGACATCAGTGTTACCTGTATGCGTCCAGGTGTTTGATCAGTTTGTGAAGAGCAGGATGAAGGATGAGTACAAAGAGAAGAAGAGTAAATTGCAGAAAGCCAGAGAAGAGTTCAAACAGCTGCTGGAGGAAGCAAAGATCACCAGCAGGTATTCCTCATTCATTATTCAGAGAAGCACTCTTAATTATTCAGCTATGTTCCTGTAAAATATGACCTCACCTCGACTGGCAGCTGTTTGTCGACCAGTCGCTGGGACAAACTGGAGATGCAGATGAGGTATTTCTACCAGAATAAAATTCATTGGAGAATGATTCATTAGCACCAAGAATTAGAGAACTAGGCTAATTCAGCTCCGGAAACAGAACTGTTTTATTGTTTGTACAATTCAAGTATTTATCAGATTTTGCATTTTATAACAACAAATACAAGAACCAAAAGCAAGAAGCAAACAAACAAAAACAACAACAAATAAAAATTATCTGCAAAAGTTGTCACCTTTTCCAAATTTTTCCGTAAACAGAAAACTCCACTCCGCCCTATCAAAAGCCTTCTGTGCATCTAAAGATATAGCCAATACAGGATTTGTTATTTCTATTCAGCCACAGCAGGTGTAGTAATGTCATATTATCGGAAGCAGATCTATTCTTGATAAACCCTACTTGATGGATAATTTGTGGTAGTACAAGCCTTGTTACTAAATCCTTGTCGCCTTTTGGGATTAGTGAGATCACTGCCTGATTAAAACTTGCAGGGAGCCGTCCATATTCAAACGCTTCATGTAATACTTCAGTTAAAAGTGGACATAGCAAGTCTATAAATCTGTGATAAAACTCTGCCGGGAAGCCATCTATTCACGGTGACTTTCCAGCTTTCATTGCATGGATACCTTCCTTACATCTACCTCAGTTAGGAGTTTCCAATTTGTCCCTACCCTCTTGTGAAATTTTTATTTATTTTCCTTTTATCAAAGAATGCATTTAGCAAATCCATACTTGATCAAATATTTTAAAAATCATGTTGATCTCCGAAGAGGATGTAACTAATTTAGCATCGTTTTCATTGCTGTAATAACATTCTGATTGTTCATTTGCTTAAGTTGTCTTGCTAATAGCCTGCCTGTCTTCTCACCATTCTCATAAAAATTAGTTTTAAGATGAGGGGGCATATTCTCCTTTTTTGTTATAAATTTCATGAAGGATATACTTAAACTGACAAATCTCCGAGATCCAGTTCCGGGTCGCTGCTCTTTTTGTTGTTGTATTTCGCCGTCTACTCGGTATATTTGTATTATTTTCCTTTTCCTCATTTTTGTGATTTTTTCGGACTTGTTTCCAACACTTCAACATGACCCCAAGGCTCACCTACACCAGGGACTCCCTCATCCAGCTGCAGATGCAGCTGCAGCCCAGTCTCCGACTTTTCCGCTCGACGGAGAAGATCATAAAACACCACATCGTAAGAGCAACTGACCCCTGATGGACTCACTCCAGTTTGCTTACCATCCATGCAGAGGTGTAGATGACGCAAAAATCTTCATCTTGGACTCCATCCACAAACATCTGGAGCTCCTGACTCCTCCCCCAGACTTCTGTTTGCTGATTTCTCATCAGCGTTCAACACTCTGCAGCCTCGTATCCTGCCCACTAAACTTTCCACCTGATGAGCAGCTAATCCTGTGGATATTGGACTTTTTGACCAACAGGACTCAGAATGTTCGGGTCAACAACTCTCTCCGGTCTCCGTTCCACCTCCACTGGCTCCCCCCAGGGCTGTGTGCTCTCCCCCCTTCTCTTCATCCTCTACACCGATGACTGCAGATCCACACAGCCCAACTGTCACCTGGTTAAATATGCTGACGACTCAGTTCTCCTGTCACTGCTGTCAGGCCCCTCACAACACCACGGGTCCACTCTGCAGGAGTTTGTAGAGTGGTGTGACAGCTCCAACTTGAACTGAATGTGAGCAAAACCAAAGAGATGGTGGTGACCTTCTCCAGTAGGCAGAGGGATCTGGCTGCTTCAGTCACCACCACCATCCACGGGAAGCCAGTGGAGGTAGTTGAGGAGCACAAATACCTGGGAACCATCTTTGACAACCTCCTGAAATTCTCTGCCAACACAGAGAGATTCTCAGGAGGTGCCACCAACAGCTATACCTCCTTTGGAGTCAGCACAACCATCATGATGACTTTTTACTACGCCTTCCTGGAAAGCATCATGACCTCCATCAGCTGCTGGTTCCCCTCCCTCAGCCTTCATACAGGAACAGACTGCAGCACACCGCATCAGTGTGCTCTAAAATCATTGGCCTACCTGTCAGAACTCTGGCAGGTTTTCAGTCAACAGGCTCTTAGACAGGCAGCCAAAATCATCAACGACCCCTCTCACATTCTTCACCCCGCATTTCAATGGATCCCCTCTGGGCGACGCCTCCGATGCATTTCCTGCAGGACTGAGAGGAGGAGGAGAGAATATCTTTTATGTGAATGAGAATAAAAGGTGTATTTTCTTTCCATAGTGTGAACAACCCTCCAAATATCTACCAGACAAGAGACACAGGGCTTCAATGTAAGACAGGAAATATACACTGACAAAACTCAGAGACACGATACCGACCGAGAACGGAAACTAAAACCAAAGAACTAGAACGTCTTAACCTGGATACGTAATCAGAATAAACTAGAACATAAGATCATAATAATAAACAAAATGCTGGGTCAAATGACCCAGGACCATAACAGTTTCTGGGTTTGAGCTACTTCTTTTTTCGTCATGCAGGGGCCTGTACTTTCATGATGCTCTTGTTCTTGCTCCTCTTCTTTCTCAGGTTTCTGCTGCCTGAGGTAATCACTGAGCACACTGTGGTTCTGACACAACTATCTACAAGCCATACACGTCACATCAGTTGAATGTTTTAACATAGCTATACTGAAATGTATAAATAATCTCTGGGCACATGAAGGACATAATGATCATAAACCCTGTGAGACGTATTCACCATAAGAGTCACTTTCCCCCAGAATCCTTCAAGTTTCATGTTTTAAAGTTTTACTCTCGCCATAACGTAAAGCATCTAAAATTTATTAAGCAATTTATACATTGTGCGATCGTGGCTCAAGAGTTGGGAGTTCGTCTTGTAATCGGAAGGTTGCCGGTTCGAGCCCCGGCTCGGACAGTCTCGGTCGTTGTGTCCTTGGGTAAGACACTTCACCCGTTGCCTACTGGTGGTGGTCAGAGGGCCCGGTGGCGCCAGTGTCCAGCAGCCTCGCCTCTGTCAGTGCACCCCAGGGTGGCTGTGGCTACAATGTAGCTGCCATCACCAGTGTGTGAATGTGTGGATGACTGGTTGTGTAAAGCGCTTTGGGGTCCTTAAGGACTAGTAAAGCGCTATATAAATACAGGCCATTTACCATTCAGCTCAGTTTAATGCTTTTGGTTCCTCGTTCCTTATTGAGGTTCTCTTATTTGCAGTTAAAATAAAATATTTTTTCATGTAGTTTAATGAGCCAAAAAAGGGCTGCCATCAGAATTACTGTTTCCAGCTCTCATATCAAAATATGAATATTCCTGTTTTGTTTTTCTTCTCCAGAACAACTTTTAAGGAATTTTGTGTTCGTTATCGGGATGACCAGCGATTCAGCACTCTCACCAGGAAGAAGGAACAGGAAGTACTCTTTAGCCATTACATCACAGCCTTAAAGAAACGAGAGAAAGAGAACAGAACCAGACTGAGGAAGATGAGATGAGAACATGTCTGAGAAAGAACCTTACAGAACCATCTACAACATTTATAGAACCCTTTTAGGTCCTTCCAAATCTTCAGAAAACCTCCCGGGAACTCCTGTCTCACTGCACTCATGCCTCCCGATTCCTGGATTTAGACTCATGTTTTGAACTGGGACTATCAAACTGTCTGTGGTTTTGTTGGACAAACCTGAATGGGACCAGAACCATCATTCTCAGTAGATTCTCATGGTTCTAGACTTTGTAAATTGTCAGGTGAGTATGAACCTGAACCAACATTAGACCATTTTCTAGGGTGAACTGCACTTCGTCATCTGGATCTGCTGGACTGGATCTAATTCATAGTCTCATTCATAACTGACAGAAACGAAAACCAGAGCACAAAAACAAATGTTCATGTGTCTGACTGTTTCTTTGTCCTGTAAAGACTATTCATTCAAACTTTATCAACACCTCAGCTTCCTAGACTTAAAAATGGACCATAATAACAGATTAAAAACAATAACAAGTAGAAAAAAGACCATAAACAAAGAGATTAGTGAGTAAACACATTTTAAACCAGAAGGGCACTCTGAGGGCAGATAACTGTGTAAAGACAAATACTGAACTAATCTACAGACGAACTCAGAAAAGCCAAACTTCATTTGTGTAATCTGAGAAACAAACAAAAAACCCCAAAAAGGAATGAATACACGAGCTCTTTAGAGGCTCTCCCTCCTCTGTAAAGGTAAGCATGAATGCAAAAACAAAGAGAATAGAGAGCCACAATCCTCTGACCTTTCATATGCAAAGGGAAAAAGGTGGGAAAGATATGATAACATCAAGCTTGCAAATATCAGCGAGTTTAGTCAGGTGCTGATAATGCTGGGCATACACTGTGCGATTTTTTTTGGCTCGTTTTGGTCATCAGCCCGAGTTTCGCCTTCATCGTGTGGCGTGCATCGTGTAGTATACGTGGGGTAACGAGAAGCGATTAACACCTCACGACCAGCTCCCGATCATCAATCGCTCGGTCGTAAGAAAATCAAACCTGTTTGAAATCCCGTCGGCCGTCGAGAGGGCGTCACCGCAGCCTCTCACGCCGTCGGCCGTCGAGAGGGCGTCACCGCAGCCTCTCACGCCGTCGGCCGTCGAGAGGGCGTCACCGCAGCCTCTCACGCTGCGCACGCGCAAACACAGAAATGAAAGTGAAAAGAAGCAGCACGGCAGTGCAGCGTGTGATCTGGACACAAGCGATGGAGGCACAACTTGTAGAACTTTGGAAAGCTCATCCGAGCCTTTTCGATGTGGCCTCACAAAATTATCACGACCACAACAACCGTGAAAATAGTTGGATTTACATGCTGCTAAATCACAGCTGCCTGATCATGTTTTTCATTAGCAATTTAGCAAAGTTGATGGTGGTGGTGTGTGTGTGTGAGTGAAAGACAGAGAGGGAGAGCGACAGATATTCTGTTATAACCTTCATGTTATGGACGCACAGTGTGAGCACTCAGGTCGCATCAGAGCATCGGGTCGTATAGTGTGAGACCTGCATCGTGACCTATGAACTTCTCACCCCTGCGAGTCAACCGTGCAGTTTGAGCAGGAGCTGAATAACACGAATGAAAAAATTGCACAGTGTTTGCCCAGCTTAAGTGGAGTGCTTCCAGGAAACAGACTCAGCAACCCTGAGGACTTGGTGTCAGGTACCACAAGGAACCTTAGAGGTCTGTCACGTCCAGGCCCATGGAGTCCTGCTGTGCAGTGTGCTGGTCTTTGGATTCTTGGTCTGTAGAATTAATGTTTATGGAGTCTACGTCTATGAAGATCTGACCTTGGTGGCTCTCAGCTTTTGCACTTGTTTTTAATAGTGTGTTTTCTGTTCAGTGTGTGTTTACAGTGTGATCCTTTAACTTCAGTTTGTGTTTGATTCCTGGAAACAAACCTATAGACCCCATTAAGAAATCTGACTTTTACAAGTTTTCCAGAAATTCTCATCTGCTGTAGAAAATGGCAAACTAGGAGACTTGGCAGTTTGATTGGCCATTCGATGTACTCTGGGAGTTGTAGGGGATGTTGGTGTAGCTCCTTCAGTTTCTCAAAATACCGCCTGATTACTAACCGAGATTGAAATTATCAAGGGCTCAAAATGTCATAAAAAGGAAGTGACAACCCTTCTCAATTGATCACATGATGTTAAACTGCGTTTTGGGACTTTTTGCCACTGACTTGAAGTCTTCCAGACTCTCTACTCACACAGTAGAAGAAACACAACAATGATCAATGGGGTTTTTTAAGGTGGCATGATTAATAAAATTGTTATTAATAAATTTACACTGTAAGATTTTAAAAAAAACATTCTGCATTCCTCTAACATCTTTATTTCTGGCAAAATCAGTTCTTTCTTACTAACCTTTGTATACATTTTTACATTTTTTCAGGGTTCTTGTCGTTACTTGATACTTATTGTCACAGCACTATAAACTGTATGTAATTTTCTGTCTGTAAAAATGCTGAATTACAAAAATGTCTGTGTGAATCCCTCGTGGTGATCTGATGTCACCGTCTTAGCAGCAACAAACTTCAACAAGCATCTGAGAGCAGAGACCCCGGGAACAGGAACAGGAAGCACCTGCTCACACTGTTTGCCCCGAGGACTTGGCCAGCAGAGAGACAGTCCCTCAACCACCACATGTGCACCTGACTCACCTGTCCCTTCTGAACAGTTTCACCTGACCCAGCTTCATTTATAAAGTGTGCTACTGTTTGTGGTCAACAAACAAACAAACAAAACCCATTTGGTGTAATCCCTGCCCTCACCAATGGGCACGGTGCGCTGTTGTTGAGCAGGCTTTGTGTCACGATGTCCTGATTGGGTGTTTTGTTTTTTTGTCTTCTCATTGGATGTCTGTGTTGAAATGATCTGTGTGTTCTAATGTTTCATTGGCTGTTGGTCCTGCCGTGTTTTAAATTAAACTGTCAAAACTAAACTGCTGTGTTCTTTAAGATGATATTGCATTTCTGTTTCAGGTGAAATCTCGGCCCAGACCCGCACTAAACTGTGGGGTTAAAGTCTTCAGTTTAACTTGAGCTGAAGGTCGTTGAACATGAGCTAAATTTGACAAATATTCACTTCCTGTTTCTAGGGTATGCCAGCTGTTCCTTCCTCCAAAATCTGACATGACATTATTTGGATGATGTATATCAATGAAAGCCCCCCAAAAATCTGAACATATGGAATTTTTTTAAACCATAAACAGCAGCACAAAGCAAATGTAAGAAAAAAACACATACATGTGATTGTTTTATAAAAAGAAATGTATATTTTTCTTTATTTTTTAAGTTGCTTTCACAAACACATTTTTCTTACTTTGTGTGTGCATGTGTTCCTGCCTGAATGTGCACATTTGAGAAGAAATGTCCGTGATCTTCATAATATCCATATCCCCAATAGGCCAGCAAAGTGCACCATGATGAGACCTGGAAACCAGATTTTCAGGGCCGAGTACAATAACCTCAGTTTGATCTGAATTAAGAAGCAGAAAGTTAGCAGCCATCCAGGTCTTTATATCTTTAAGACATTCCTGCAGTTTAACTCATTGGTGTGTGTTATCTGGCTTCATGGACAGATAGAGCTGGGTGTCATCTGCATAGCAGTGTAAATGTATGCTATGTCTTCTAATGATGCTGCCTAAGGGAAGCATGTATAATGTAAACAGAATTGGTCCTAGCACTGAACCCTGTGGAACTCCATAATTAACCTCAGTGTGTGAAGAGGACTCTCCATTTACATGCACAAACTGGAGTCTGTTAGATAGATATGATACAAACCACTGCAGTGCAGTACCTGTAATACCTACAGCATGTTCTAATCGCTCTAATAGGATATTATGGTCGACAGTATCGAACGCTGCACTGAGGTCTAGCAGGACAAGCACAGAGATGAGTCCACTGTCAGAGGCCATAAGAAGATCATTTGTAACCTTCACTAAAGCTGTTTCTGTGCTGTGATGAGCTCTGAAACCTGACTGAAACTCTTCAAATAAACCATTCCTCTGCAGATGATCTGTTAGCTGTTTGACAACTACTCTTTCAAGGATGTTTGATATGAAAGGAAGGTTGGAGATTGGCCTATAATTAGCTAAGACTGCTGGGTCTAGAGATGCTTTTTGAGTAAAGGTTTAACTACAGCCAGCTTGAAGGCCTGTGGTACATAGCTGATTATTAGAGATAGGTTGATCATATTTAAGATCGAAGCATTAATTAATGGCAGGACTTCTTTGAGCAGTTTTGTAGGAATGGGGTCTAAAAGACACGTTGATGGTTTGGAGGAAGTAATTATTGAAGTTAACTCAAAAAGATCAATTAGAGAAAAAGAGTCTAACTTAACATCAATGGTACTAAGAGTAGCTGTAGATAATATTACATATGTGGGACGATTACTGGTAATTTTTTCTCTAATGATAAGAATTTTATTTGTGAAGAAGTTCATGAAGTCATTACTAGTTAACGTTAAAGGGATGGTTGGCTCGACAGAGCTCTGACTGTTTGTCAGCCTGGCTACAGAGCTGAAGAGAAACCTGGGGTTGTTCTTATTTTCTTCAATCAGTGATGAATAGTAAGATGTTCTGGCTTTACGGAGGGCTTTCTTATAAAGTAACAAACTATTTCTCCAGGCTAAATGATGATCCTCTAAATTTGTGACACGCCATTTCCTCTCCAGGTTACGAGTCATCTGCTTTAGGCTACGTGTTTGAGAATTATACCACGGAGTCAGGTACTTCTGATTAGAGACCTTAGTTTTCACAGGAGCTACAGTATCCAGAGTCGTACGTAGTGAGGAGGTGAAATTATTAACAAGATAATCGACCTCTGTTGGGGTAGCGTTCAGATAGCTGCTCTGCTCTGTGTTGGTACAGGGCATTGAAGATGATAACAGTGGGTGGATTATATTCTTAAACTTAGTTACAGCGCTTTCAGAAAGACATCTACTGTGATAACGTCTACTCTCCACCACTGTGTAATCAATTATTTCTGTCAATCGCAAGAACTGTGAGAGTGGGTTTCGCCTGCTTGGCTGGAAGACTAATTGAGGTTATGTCAGAAAGCACAAATGGTGTGATGACTGGATTCTGCAGCCAAAGATGGAGGAAAGCTTTCAAGCCAAAAGTGCTGAGCTGGTGAGCAGAGTCATAGTACATAGAAATATGTGTCTGTGGTGTTTTGAGCAACTGGCAGACAGTTGGTATGTTGGTATATAAGATAGCCGTTCACAGTGGACACAGATGCTTCTTTTACTCCTCTTTCAAACCTGTCCTCTCTGTCCAACATGTGAACATTTGCATCCTTAAAGCAGTGACCTTTGTCCTTTAGTACAGCCGAGCCTTGTCCCGTGGAGGTGGCTCTTCTATGTTGTGCGTTTATAAAGTGGATGTTTGGTGTCTCCAGTGTAGAGGTCTGAGCACTCCTCCCTACACTGTACAGCTACGCTACATTGTTGAGGTTGTGTGTGGGATGAACCAGTTTGTGTCTGAGTGTGTGGCTGGGTACACTGGGATGTCGTGCTTGGAGAAGACTCTCCTGAGTTTCTCTGATAAACCTGCCACATGAGGGATGACAGTTGTTCTGTTTGTCCTTCTGATCCTCTCTAGTTGGTGTCTGACCGTCTTTCCTGTGCATCTTAGTTGATTTGATGAAAGCCCAGCTGGGATAACCACATGTTTATGAGCTTTGGTAAATGGTAAATGGCCTGTATTTATATAGCGCTTTACACATCCAGTCATCCACACATTCACACACTGGTGATGGCAGCTACATTGTAGCCACAGCCACCCTGGGGCGCACTGACAGAGGCGAGGCTGCCGGACACTGGCACCACCGGGCCCTCTGACCACCACCAGTAGGCAGCGGGTGAAGTGTCTTGCCCAAGGACACAACGACCGAGACCTTCCAAGCTGGGGCTCGAACCGGCAACCTTCCAATTACAAGGTGAAAGCTACAATTGCCCGGGTGGTGGGAGTCAAAGAGGAGGTACTGGTCCGTGTGTGTGGGCTTCAGGTAAACTTTGCTGTTAACATTTCCATTCTCCCCAGTGTGCACACTACAGTCCAAAAACAGCAAACTGTTATCTTTGTGTCTTCCTGGTGAACTTTATGTTTCTATCCACTGAGCTGATGTGAACCATGAAGGTGTCTTCTTCTTGGGTTTTAATTTTGTTCCAGGTTTCTTCCATATATCTGT